AAACTCCTTACCTCCGTCACTGATGTAGGACGGTCCCATTTCAACACAGCTTCAACCTGTGATAATCCTTGAGTAGATATCACATGACCAAGGAATTGAACTTCATCTAACCAGAATTCACACTTCAACAGTTTGCCATACAATTGGTGCTCCCTCAAAATCTCCAACACTATTCGCAGATTTTCAGCATCCTCCTCTTGGTTCTTCGAGTAGATAAGAATATCGTCAATAAATACAACGACAAACTTATCCAAACAAGAACAAAAGGTGCGATTCATGTAATCCATGAATATAACTAGAGCATTTGTCACACCGAAAGACATCACAACATACTCGTAGTGCCCATAGCGTAAGTGAAACGTTGTCTTTTGCACATCATCTAGCTTGACGAGAATTTGATGATATCCCGATCGCATATCAAACTTTGAAAACACCCCAGCACCTTTCAACTGGTCTACAGATCATCAATTATTGGCAATGTGTACTTGTTCTTGATAGTGACTTTGTTAAGTTGTCGGTATCCCACACATAACTTTGAGCTTCTGTCTTTCTTTTTCACAAGCAACATTGACGCACTCCAAGGAGACACACTTGGTATGATGAACTTCTTCTTTAACAACTTTTCGATATGCTTCTTCAACTCAGCCAATTCTATTGGAACCATACGATCCAGAGCCATTGACATTGGCCCAGCACCCGACATCTAATCTTTTGCGAAGTCTAGCTCTTGACTAGGTGGAGAGTCCAACACCTCAGGAAAACACATTTGTGTATTCCTCTATATTGGAATTTCACTAATTTGTTTGTTTGTGCTCTTGCTATGCTCTTTCACCATCACCACCAATCAACCAACTACATTCTAGAAATATTGCCAAACTTCTCTCAACGTTGACATCTCTAAGCCTCTTAATTATGAAATCCTCTTAATTGATGACCACTTCACAACCAACCGTCGAAGAACCTCTACAAGCTCTACAGTAGCATTGATAAAAGTAGGAGTTCTCGCCCATCTCAACATTTCTATTATTTAAAAACACAATTAGATAAGGAAACCATCATACAGTTGTCAGAATCACATAACAAAGCTAGTTGAGCTCACTCCCTAAAAGCCCCAAAAGAATTTTTCGAAAACCTAGGTCTGATACCAAAATGTAACACCCTTAACAAAGTGTTCCGTGTTAATTTATAAAATACAAAATTACGCCAAATTTTTTTATCATTTATATAACGTCGCGGAAAACCAAAAACTTCAATTATTCAAACGTTTTACAACATAAAGATCAAACCCTACAAGTATTAAAATCCATTGTTCCAAAAATATAAAATAACTTTAAAACATAAGATATTCCCAACAGTAATTAATTCTCATTTCTCTCGTCACGCTACCCCAACCATGCCTTAACTGCAATGCCATTTACTCCCATACAAGTATAATTATTGCAGGTGGAACCACAAACACAAAAAGAAAGGGTGACTAACTAAGAATATAAGATACCATATAACATTACAATATATCACAATATTCAAAACATGACTCACATAATTAACACAAGCTTCTGTTGTTTCCTTGAATTTTGTCGTACAAAACCTGTTTCGCAAGGACTAACGAGTAAAAATTTCGGTTAGGTGCATCCACCGAGCACTATACTCACACAAAAGTTACTTGACATTGTTTGTCGTGCAATGACATTTATGATACCTCCATTGCATAAAGTGAAGACGAATGGTGTATAAAAGAACAAGGTTCAAAGGACAGAAAGGCATACAAAGTGTGATTAGTCATATTTTGAGCATGTAGACACATTCCACTCAGCAATTCAATCTTCGTCACCGAAATTTTTTTTACAACATAGGCCAAAACCTGTGCAACGAAGGAAAGTCCCCATGATAGAGCAGTTTCATCCTATTTGTCACCCATGCATTTTCAATATTGTTGATATCATGACTAATGGTCATTGTAGCTATATATGCATGAATGCGTCATTAGAGTCACGAAAAGATTCATAACCTCTTGTCCTCAATGATTATAATAGAGAACTTAGTCAGTGGCATGATGAATATGCAACACTAGTGAGAGGCAATAACCGACTAGAAGAGCTAAGGAGATCTTTGCTAGTTGACTCACACTCATTTGATAATATTATTAAAAAAATCAACAATTAAAAAACACAACTAAAACATTAGTTAAAAAAATATTAAATTACTCAACAATTTTTTGAATTCAAATCAAATTAATTAATATAATTATGTAATTATAAAATACCAAAATTATTACAAATAAAAAACTTTAAATTCTAAAATATTAAAAAAATATTAAATAATTACAAACAAAAAACTTTAATCCAAAATAAATTTAATTAATTAAAATATTTATATAATTATAAAATCCTAATATTTAATTAAAATAATAACAAAATATCTTAAAATTATAAAAAATTAAAAAACTACAAAACAAATAAAACATTAAATAATTCAAAACAACAAAATTTAATAACAATATAATTAATTAATTAAAATAATTATATATATCAAATACTAAAATTTATTAACAATAAAACAAATTCTAATCATTTAAAATTTAAATAAATATAAATTCTATTTAAAATAAAATTAAATCATTAAAAAAATTTAATTTAATTTAAAAAAGCATAATCAAATTTCGAAAATCGATTTTGTCTTCATCAGATATAGAAATTTGATTCTATTTTCATGAGATTTCGAAATCTGATAATGGAAGAATTGATTTTCTAAATCTGATGAAAGTAGATTCGTATTTCCAAATCCGATGAGATCAATGTTTTCTATCATCCAAAACTCCTTTCTAACCTATTCCCTCACACTCATTTGTTTCAAACACAGTTTTTAACCATACAATTCTAATTTTGTACATGCAATCTAATTCTACGTGTAGAAACATACAATGAATCAACAAAAAAATTGAACTTTGAAGGGAAATAAACACCAACCTTCAACAAAAAAATACATCAAGGAAGAGAAAGGAAGGAATGCACCGAATAAAAAAGCAACTATGAAAAGGAAGGAAGTCGAATATGTAAGAAGAAATGAAGGAGGTGGAAGGAATGGAGAAGGAAAAGAAGGATTGAGGGTCGCGAGAGATAGTTGAACGTGAAAGTGAGAGGGAGAAAGATGTTTTAGGTTTAGAAAGATTTAGGAGTGTAGGGTGAAACCCTTGTAGCTACAGGGTGAAACGTCCTTCTTTAAAAGGGAGGTATTTTATTTCCATTAATAACTTGTTGAAATTTAGTTGTAGGATTTGTTTGTTATTGCAAATTTCTTGGGAATGGGCTATAAGTGATGAAGAGAAATCAAATTACATAGTTTGTGGTGCTCTCAATGTTGATGATCACGGTGTTGGCAAAGAAGAAGAGGATGATTTTTTCGTGAGTAAATTGAAGAAGAATTAAAGGCGCATATCTGACATTACAAAAGAGATGAGGAAGGTGTGGAACCTGCTGACAAAACTAAATGTTAACTACATTGTCACTAACTATATCTGAGTTTAACTTTTAAATAGTTGTGGGACCACCAATGAGCACGTCCTCATGGAGAGTTTGAATGACATACAAATGACATGTTACTGGTAGAAGGAGTGCAGGTGGTCAATTTTTTTTGGCCCAACACTAACTAAGCACACCAGCTGACAATTGTAAGTAAAAGCTACATTGTAGGTTCCAACCAGAGATGTAAAGCTTACAACAGTCTTCTAAACTAACATGTTCAGGCGGATTCATAAGGAAATTGAATATTTTATTAACGTCAACATTTTACGTATCAAACAACTTCCTAGACTCGCTAACTATGTCTACCTTACCTAAATCAATCTTGTCTCTAACTACCCTCAACCCTAATCCTACACAGACAGCTAACAAATTAAAACCAACATCAGATCTAATTAAAAACCCACCCCTCCATTTCATCCATTTACTGCATAACTCACTTAAAACATTTCTATTTATCTTCACAGACTCATTCAACTGTGTGAACCATCCAAATGGTGTACCTGCAATTAACGATTTTTGTTCAAATGATAACTTCTTATTCAAACGACTGGTACGGCACGAATGCCTCAAAACAATCAATGAACATGTAAGATTAGGTAACCCTTTCCTAAGGAAAAACAAAAACATACATACCTTACTGGAATTACTGCAATCACCACATTCACGAAAACATACACCAACAACCTCCAGTCAAGGTATTCACAAAAACCTTCTTAACAATTACTTCACACACAACAGAGAGATTTCGAAATGCCCCAAATTAAACCCTAAACCCAATCATTCACAAAATTTCTATGCCACAAACACTTTATTCAAATCAAGAAACCCTAAACCACAAACACGAAAACTAAAAAAAAAAGAAGTTTCTTACCAGGACGTGCTATATCAGCCAGGCAGTGACGGATGGGACAAGACAATGAAATAAAACTTTGTCGTGCGGAATGACAGAGCACCTTGCTTGGGAGATGAATGCTAGGGTTCGTCAACCTACACGAACGAGGCACGACAAAGAAAGAGGATAATGGAAGAGACCTTCTTAAGAGAAGACAAGGGAGGTAAAGGTGTCACCGGAGTGGTCACCTTAGTGAAAGGAGATGAGGGAGGGACGACAACGAGGACGAGAGGACTGCGACAAAAAACCCTTTTAGCGAGAAGGTGAGGGAAGAACGAGAGGTTTCCGTGTGAAAGAAGGAGATGAAGGAAAGAGATGACTGGAAGTCGAAGTGGGTTTTGATTTCAAATGAACCCGCGCGTACCACTCTCTCAATTCCACCGTGGCTGAACAATACAAAAATGAAAATAATAAAGAAATTGATACCTAGGATGACACGTCACTGTGTCAAAACGGGATTATCATTTTCCTTCGAAATTTATGTAAAAAATTAATATTAAATTTATCCATATATATCATATGCCTTTTGAAGCATATATTAACACATCACCGCACTGTAATTGAAAGATCAATAGACATAAAAGAAAGTATCAATTATTTATCATATCATTGACTAACCATGCCATGATTTGGTGATACAGAAATACACATTGCTAACAATCAGTAGAACAAATGGGAGAGATTGTTCTTGAATGAAGATCATCAATTGAATCACAACGTTAATACACAAGAATCCAATAAAGTAAACCTTCCTAGAAAACAGAACAACTGAAGTAATTCCATTTGTGAGAACCGTTTCATGCACTCTTATATATACCTCTGAATGTTGCTTCCTGAAAGAAACAATTTCAAGAAAACAATTTGCTTGGAACACAAGAAAGAAAGGCAGAGCTAATTATGGAGTCTGAGCAGTTGATTCCTCCTTGGATCTATTCTCTTCCGAAGATGGCCGGTTTTCGGAGTCGGATTGCCGGATTTCTTCAATCATTCTCACTACTTCCTCCATGGTGGGCCTCATATCTGGAACCTTTGCCACACAGGCCATGGCAATTTGCAACATTTGCACCATTTCTTCTTCAATGTTTTGGTACCTCATTAGCTCAACATCAAAAACCTCAGCTGTCCACTCCTCCCTAACAACAGATTGCACCCACCTTGGGAGATCGACCACATCGTCACGTCCTGGAGACTGTTGCGGGGCTTTTCCGGTCAGCATTTCCAGAAGGAGAACACCAAAACTGTAGACATCTGACTTGTGAGAGTGCTTACGCGTTTCAATCACCTCAGGGGCGCGATAGCCTGCAGCTCTAGAAGGAGTTGCAGGAACATTCATTAATGGGGTCAGGCCAAAGTCAGAGATGCAGCCATCGTTATCTTGGTTGAGGAGGACATTTGAAGATTTCACATTTCCGTGAGTGAATTTTGGACCGCCAACTGAATGTACGTGAGCAATTCCTCTGGCAATTCCAACAGATATTTTTATTCGGGAGTTCCAATCTAATGGAGTTCTTCCACTTGCTCTGTTACCTGTCACCGAATTCAGATCCAATTTAACTCATGTACATATACCATAAGAAGTTGAATAACATCCACAGGTATAGAAAATGAGATTATCCAAAAGACATTCAAATATCATGAAGTTCAACACTATGTATACGTAAAATTCATGTGTAATATGTATAAACTCAAATACATAATAAAGGAAAACTAAAACAAGTTTAGAAGTTTTAACTGAAACAAGAGAAACAGAAATGCATACCATGCAAGAGGGTTGATAGATTGCCATTTGGGATGTAGTCATAAACCAAAAGCTTCTCATCCTTGGAATAATAGTAAGCTCGAAGTGGCACAACATTTGGGTGCTGTCCAACTCTTCTCACAATCTCCATCTGCTGTTCAAATTCCCTTTTGCCAACCACGACTTCCTTCAACCTTTTCACTACAACTGTTGTTGACTCTTCTAATATAGCCTTATATGCAGTACCATAACTACCCTTTCCAAGAACTTCAGCCGAAGCTCTCAGCAAATCCTCTAGATCAAAATTATAAGAACTGCCTTCAAAGAAAACCAACTTGTTCTTCTCAGGTTCTTGCACCCCACTTCCAAACTCTTCTTTTGGTTTGTCAGTTCTCCCACCACTAGGACCCTTGCCTTTAGTAGGTCTGGGGCTTCCATCATCTTTTTTCTTTAAACAGCAAAGAACAATGATGAGAGCTACTAAAAGTAATAGCACACCCCCACCAACTGCAATTGCAATGATAGCTGCCTTACTCAATTTACTTTTGTGTCTTGAAGGAGTTGGTGGGGCAGGAGTTAATGATGGAGGAGATGCAGGGGGGGCTACAGAGCATGGCCTTAGAGGTAATCCACATAGAGAGTTACCCTCAAAGGAAGAATTGGGGAAAGTCTGAAGAGCAGCAGGGATAGAGCCATTCAAATGGTTGTAGCTTAAATTCAAGTGCCTGAGCTTTGTGACATTGAGATTTGGTATCTCACCAGATAGGGAGTTGTTCTGGAGGTTCAACCTAGTTAGTTGTGTTAAGTTTTGCAATGTCTTTGGAATAGCACCGGTGAAGGAATTATATGACAAATCAAGTACATTGAGGTGGGTGGACAGTGAGGTAGGTATGTTACCAGAAAGGTTATTATGCTGAAGGTAAAGATATTGTAGAGAAGGAAGAGAAGAAATATCAGGAGGAAGACTTCCACTGAGTAGGTTGGCACGGAGGCTGAGATTTCTGAGTGAGTCAATCTTGCCAAGTGTATTGGCCGGAATGGTGCCGACAAGTCCAATTCCAGGAAGCCGGAGAGAAACAACACGGGTGCCATTTAGATTGCAAGTGACACCTACCCAAGATGTACAAATTGAAGTAGCTGAATTCCACTTTAGGTCACGGCGATGGGGGACAGAAGCAGCAAAATCAAGAAGGGCTTGCTTATCAGAATTTAAGTCAGCAAAAATCATAGGACAGAGAATAAGAACCATGAAAAGGAAAGGATGCACTCGAGGGAAGTAGAACTTCATGGCAAGTTTTTTGGTGATAAGGTATAAGATATTGATACATGAATTTGAAGCAATATCTGCCATCCTTCATATTTTCCTGGTTTAGCACCATGACCACAAATCATAGTTAGAATACAATAGCATAAAGAAGCAAGCACTATCAATTATAATGACACAGATAGTTCTAGTTAACTAAAAGGCACATCTGACTGAATCAACCAATAAATATTAAGGTAGTTGCAAGCTCTGAATAAGATCTTGCAATCTCTTTTTTCTTGTTGTAAGATTTCCATTACCATCAGGGATCTAATGGAGGAATAAACCTTTTGAGCTTACAAAAAATACTTAATATCAGAAACATACTTAATATTTTAAAAATGCCTAATGCAGCTTCAACTTTGTAGAGTAACAATCACAAACAACTGAACAACAGTAACCTAATGAAAACATGCCTCTTGGAGCAGGGTATATACATCAGTCACAATCCTTGCCTAGCGTAACTAGGAATAAGTGACAAAAATGAAAATAAAAAAGAACTATTACATGATGTTGAACGAAAGCAATAGCATCATTTTCAGTTTTCAACAGTGGATATTAAAAGATATCGAATGACAACTATACCCACTAGGAGAATATTCAAGTTACAGTTGAAACAAGCAATGCTCATACCTAAAGCATAGCTGCAAATCAATGACAAAGAGAAATGAGCAGTGAAGAAGATGACTACAAAATTGAATATGTTAAGACAGCTTGCTCAGGAAGGAAAAGGAAAATGTTTGGTCTATGAAATAACAAATTCCTCCTTAATTAGTATAAAGTCATTAATCAACTGGCTGGAACATTAACCATTTTTGAGAGACAGAAGCTTTTCAACAAAAGGTCCCATTAGAAAGCCAAGTAGATGAACCCCAAAAGAAAAAGAATCCCAGGATTTTAGCTGAAGAGGAATATGAAAGAACTCAAAAACAACATTTACTGTCAAATTAAGTTGTTGGAGTAGGTAATTTAGCTTTCTTGTGCCTTTATAGCTCGAACTAACATTTCTGCAGTTAATTCTCAGAACAGATTATCTTGCCAACCAGAAAGAAACAATGTAAGCTTCCTTCCTGCCTTTTTTTTCCTGCACGGAAGAGGAACTACCCGAATTTCTACATTGAATACAGATGGACGAATTATTAACCCAAATTTTGTTCACATACCATATTTAATGTATTGGGAAGGAAATTAAAAGACCACTGACAGTCAAAGTTGTTCAACAACTAAACTTTCATCAAAACAACAACTAAAAACAAAAACATCTAACACAAAATAAAAACAAAATCCCAAGAGTTCCCACCATTAAGAAGTAACACCCGCACATCAACAAGAAAAACACCAAGCACTGGCACCAGAAAGAAACCTCAAAACTCCCTTTGAAGCACATCCTTCGGAACCCAACCCACAATGTGCAACCCATTTGATAGTTTGAAGCCCATTAGTGGGTATTCATGAAAACTACTGAACCAAAACATCCCAGATCTGCAAACTAGCACTGAACCAAAACACCCCAAGAGTTTCCCTCATTAAGAAGTCACACCCCACGTGAAGAAGAAAAACACCAAGCACTAGCACCAGAAATAAACCCCAAAACTCCCTGTCAAGTACATCCTTGGAAACCCAACCCACAATGTGGAACCCGTTTGATAGTTCGAAGCCCATAAGTGGGCACCCATGAAAACCACTAAACCAAAACACCCCAGATCTGCAAACTAAGTTACTAGCACAAGTTAGCACGCAGGGACAAAGAAAGGGGTGATTTTTCAATGAGTAATCACCTGAAGGAAAGCAAAGAGGAAGAAGCACAAGGATTCATGGAACAGCTCAGAGCTTAAACCACAGGGCGAGATGACGCATTCACACTGAAGAAGCTGAGCTAGTTGCAGACTTGTACTGTGCTTCAGATTCTGAAGTAAGTAACAAATAATAGAGAATTTCAATCAGCGTAGCTCTCAATTGGGGCATGAAAGCTCAACACCACAGAGAATTTGCATGAAAATGGAAGGCGTTGAGGTTGAGGCTACTATAGGAGCTAGAAGAAGAAGTGAAGACGCATGGTTCATTAGGGAGTTCAAAATTAAAGTAAGAAAAGCTCAAGATTCAGGAAAGTGAGCCCTTTTACTTTAATTATTTATGTCAAAGTTGAAGATAATTATAAATAAAAAGCAAAGAGGAAACAAAAAGGTCGCAAAGGATTAAAGAATGGTTTGGCCAGCAGAGCAATGCATAACACACAGTGACAACTCTTCTTGCTTCTTGACTAAACCAGAGAGAGAAAGAGAGTGAAAAGTCAGAGAACAATGCACACAAAGCACTAAGACTATGAAACTGTGTGATAACTCCTTAAACGGCCAAGATCAAAAGTACTCTCAGAAAATAGCAATTGCACTTGAGAGAGGGGAAAGAAAGTAATTTTATGTTTTTCACCCAATCCCTATCATTCTTTACCTTTTTTTAGAATAATTAAATTGTATAATTAGAGAGAGGGAGAGAGATAATAAAAGAAAAATAGTGAATTAAATGTAATGTATAAAATACTGTTTTACTATGACAAAAATATGGATGCAATTTGAAATGAATAAAAATAAGAGAAAAATTGAAAGAGGGTTTTTCTCTAATTAGGAATTAGAGAAGTTAGGAAGAGTTCAACTTTGCTTTCTTTTTGTAATTTTTGTAATTGATTCTCTCCTTTCCATCTTAAGAAATTAGGTCTCTTTATTGGAAAATTTTTATACCTCACATCACATGCATGGACTGCCATCACATTTAATGGAATCATCCATTTACTTCTATCTGCATCTCATCTTCGTTAACATATTTAATTTTTGTACTTGTTACATTACCTTCTCATTTTCCATTTTTTTCTTTAACAGAAATTTTGCTTTTTATTTTATATGAAACAATTATATCTTCTATTTAGGATGGTAATTTTACCCGTGTACACAGATATCCGGATAAAATCCGCGGCAGGTAGTAACTATCCACGAATATTTACTATTTGTGATAGCGGATAGCGGATAGTATACTATTCGTTCCGCAGATGTCCGTTATCTGCAAGTTATCCGTAAAAAATGTTAAAAAAAATTATATATTTTTTAATTAAATTTAATTAAAAATAAAATAAAATTATATTTTATTATTTTAAATTTAATTAAAATTAAATTTTAATTTATATTTAATTTAATTTATATTATATTATATTATATATATATATATATATATATATATTTGTATTTTTATTTAAATTTTACTTTTAAAATGTATTAAAAAAAAATTTTGCGGATATCCGTATGTTTTAAAATATCCACGAGTATTTTTGAAACGGGTACCCGACGAGTAGCGAATACGATTTTATCTGACAAGTCAGATTGTAGATAACTACTATCCGTGTCCGATCCGATCTATTGTCATTCCTACTACTTCTACGCAGTTAACACAGAATTTATGGTGAATATTCATTGTAAGGTAAGTGATACTTTCAGAGAGAAACAATAAAACGAACTAGTATAACTTTATAATGATAATACAAAAAGAAAATTGCATTTCCTTTTCCTAAGTGATACTTATTACACAATCTTCTCTGTTTCGTTTTAAAATTATGCTCTTTTTTATTTATTTTTTCTGGAATATCAATTCATTTCAATGCTAAATATTTTCCATTTTAAAATTAAAAGAGTTATAAAACAAGATAGTCAAATATTAGTCAAAGTATTTGAATTAGTGATTGGAATATTCAAAGAAAAGAAGCACGTGGTATTTATTTCTTCATTTATTTGTCGCAGTGATGAAATTGATAAAACAAGATAGTCAAATAGAGTCTCTCCATTGAAATTTAATATGCTCATAATTTCAAGAAAATCAACCAAATATAATGGAAAAGACTTAAATGCTTTAAAATTTTGTTTAGTTTGTAGTTTGCCTTTACTCCTAGTGGACGAAGTTTTTTTTTTTCCTTTCTTTTTTTTAATTTCTTTAAGTGAGTATATAAGTTTTTAATATATTGAATGAATACGACCTTCTCTTTAATATAATTTTTAACAAGTTAATATAAACATCGACAACTTTATTACATTTAATATTTTTTATTAGGTATGATTATGAAAAGTATTGCACTACATATATGATTGAGAATATATTTCCATAATTACTTTTAATAAACAAAATAACAACAAATTGAAAGATTTATGTATAAATAAATTATGATTAGTTTATGTTAGGAACCGTGATGCTCATGTGAGGAGAGGTCCTACTGTCACTGTGAAAAAAAGTTATTTATTTATATAAACAATGTTGAGCCTTCAGATTTTTTATTTATATAATTTTATTTCCTTAAAGTAAATTCAAATTATTAATATAAAATAATAATGTCTATATCAGTCAACATTTTCAACGATGATTTTGTAAACTTACTTTCATATTTTAATTAAGGTTTAATACCTCTTTTGATCCCTCGAAAGAGGAGAAATGTTCAGAATTCGTCTTACCTTTTTTAAAATGTTCAAAACGGTCACAATTTTTGAAAAAATTGGTCAACTTAATCTTTTTTTTTACGGCGTCAAATTTCTAACGGTACAGCTGTCACCCTTGACAAAAGTTAATGACGTGTCCAGTTTATCTGACTCCATAGCAACCCTAATTCCCAAACCCTAGTTTCCTTGTGCCGCCATCACCATGGGCAACCGTAGGCCGCCGTCAGCCACTCTGCCGTCTTGCCATAACCTCACCATCACCCAACACTAGCATCACCGCAGTAGACATCACTGTCACCAATACAGAACGCAAACACCAAAGTCGCGAGTCCTCCATCATCATCTTCGTCATCTTCCTCGACTTCCATCTCCACCATGAGACACTTTTCAGGTCGTCGTAGAGCTGCAAGGACCACCATCCACCATGACCATTGCAAGAGCACTCTCTCGCACACACCTGCAGAAACCCAAACAGAGAAATCCCCAATTCCAAAAATCTTTCGAAACCTAAATCACCGCCACAACTCTTCCATTCATCTCCTCGCGAGTTTCGCCCAACCTTGAGCTAGCCATCTTGCCTCCACCAGACCTAAATCGCGCCATCTCCCACTGCGATAAAAACCCACCGTGACCAATGTTCATCATCTTCTTCGCACAGTAGAACCATCGCGCCACACCTCCAGATTGCAACCTGCACACCATGATTTCTCCACCTTCGCAAACCGTGAGCACCTGCAAGAAAAGAAATCCAGACAGATATTCCAGATCCAAATTGCAATCCTGATCGCACAACCATAGTTTTTAAATCACGGCTTTAGGGAGCCTGAAACATGAGACGAGGTTGCGGCAAGACGACAGGGTGGCTGACGGCGGCCTACGGTTGCTCGTGGTGCTAGCGGCACAAGGAAGCTAGGGTTTGGGAATTAGGGTTGCCACACAATCAGATAAACTGTACATGTCATTAACTTTTGTTCAGGGTGGCAGCTGCACCGTTAAAAATTTGACACCATAATTAAAAAAAATTAAGTTGACCAGTTTTTTCAAAATTTGGGACCGTTTTGAACATTTTAAAAAAAGTAGGACGATTCTGAACATTCCTCCTCTTTCGAGGTACCAAAAGAGGTATTAAGCCTTTAATTAAAATGTTTAATAAATTCGTAGCATCTATACGAATAACTTATTTTTTTTAGTTAAAATTGTATTTATTGAAACTAATTTAACCGTACATAATTAATATATGTATTATAAATAATGTCTAAATATATATGAAATCGACGTGATTTAGTTCTTATAAAAAAAATTATCATCGTTTTGAAAATACTAGGTCTTTGTAAACATTCTTCTATGACTTTATATTTTAAAATATTTAAGACAAAAAGAATATTTATTTTAGAGATATTGAAAAAAATATCATAAATGTCACGTGCTAATAACTTTATTACAAACATTAACCAGCGTTACTTGTAGGATGACAACGGGTCGGGTCGGGCACGGATAGTGCCTACTAGCAACCCGACCCGACAAAAAGAAATACATCCGCTACCTGCACAGCTTAAAAAATATCCGTGGATATTTTAAAATTCGCGGATACCCACGAATACTTATAAATATTTAAAAAGATATATTTTTATAAAATATTAAAATAANATTAAATGTAATGTATAAAATACTGTTTTACTATGACAAAAATATGGATGCAATTTGAAATGAATAAAAATAAGAGAAAAATTGAAAGAGGGTTTTTCTCTAATTAGGAATTAGAGAAGTTAGGAAGAGTTCAACTTTGCTTTCTTTTTGTAATTTTTGTAATTGATTCTCTCCTTTCCATCTTAAGAAATTAGGTCTCTTTATTGGAAAATTTTTATACCTCACATCACATGCATGGACTGCCATCACATTTAATGGAATCATCCATTTACTTCTATCTGCATCTCATCTTCGTTAACATATTTAATTTTTGTACTTGTTACATTACCTTCTCATTTTCCATTTTTTTCTTTAACAGAAATTTTGCTTTTTATTTTATATGAAACAATTATATCTTCTATTTAGGATGGTAATTTTACCCGTGTACACAGATATCCGGATAAAATCCGCGGCAGGTAGTAACTATCCACGAATATTTACTATTTGTGATAGCGGATAGCGGATAGTATACTATTCGTTCCGCAGATGTCCGTTATCTGCAAGTTATCCGTAAAAAATGTTAAAAAAAATTATATATTTTTTAATTAAATTTAATTAAAAATAAAATAAAAATATATTTTATTAGTTTAAATTTAATTAAAATTAAATTTTAATTTATATTTAATTTAATTTATATTATATTATATTATATATATATATATATATATTTGTATTTTTATTTAAATTTTACTTTTAAAATGTATTAAAAAAAAATTTTGCGGATATCCGTATGTTTTAAAATATCCACGAGTATTTTTGAAACGGGTACCCGACGAGTAGCGAATACGATTTTATCTGACAAGTCAGATTGTAGATAACTACTATCCGTGTCCGATCCGATCTATTGTCATTCCTACTACTTCTACGCAGTTAACACAGAATTTATGGTGAATATTCATTGTAAGGTAAGTGATACTTTCAGAGAGAAACAATAAAACGAACTAGTATAACTTTATAATGATAATACAAAAAGAAAATTGCATTTCCTTTTCCTAAGTGATACTTATTACACAATCTTCTCTGTTTCGTTTTAAAATTATGCTCTTTTTTATTTATTTTTTCTGGAATATCAATTCATTTCAATGCTAAATATTTTCCATTTTAAAATTAAAAGAGTTATAAAACAAGATAGTCAAATATTAGTCAAAGTATTTGAATTAGTGATTGGAATATTCAAAG